TTTATAAATAGTGTTAACTTTATAAAAACTTGAAATTTTCAATAGAGAGATATGTTAAACAGTATAATAATGAATATAGTAAATTGAAATATGCAATATGTATGAAAACTTTTATATTCACATTTCTGTTAATTTATGATTTTTATTATCAAGTAAAAATGTTTTTCTTTCTGTCAGTCTAATATATAGTTTTTTCTCAATACAGTTACTTATGTTATGATGAATTGTAAATTTTCTATTTATTGAACAATTTTTTAAAACTTAACAACATAAATAGAAAAATTTTAATATGATTTATTTTTAAGTTTTGAAGTTAGAAAAAACTTTAATATTATACAATATATATATTTCAGAAATATAAAAATTTTCTTAAAACATTTTTTTTAGTTCTATAGAACATCAAGAGGCCTTAAATGAAATAAGAAGAGCACATGAATGTGAAAAACAGTTGCTCCAAGATGATAATAGGAAATTAGCATTAGAAGTTGAAAGGGTAATCTTATGCATATTTTTACATTAAAATTACTGTTTGTTCAATGGATAATATTATTTATTTACCTGAAATTTTTAACATATAACTTTTTGTTTTACATTAATTCTGATAACCATTTTAAATAAAATAATACATCTTTAATAATTTAAATGATTTTAAAACTATAAAACTTCAAAAAAACATTGTGTTAAAGATTAAGAAAGCAAACAACAAAAGACAAATTTTTCCAGGATTAGAACAAAATTTATTAAATTGTATTAAATTGACTAAAAAATGTCAAAGTAAACTAGAATAATTGGATTGAATAAATTTTAATTTCAGGTTTAATTTTGTTATTAGTTTTTGTATAGTTTGTACTTTTTTCACTACATTTCCCTATTGGCAAATTTCAGAATTAAAATTTTTTGTGAAATCCTTTCCCATATCCAGAGTAGTATACCTGCAAAATTTAGTGACCAAAAGTTCAAAATAGGGAAAATTTAATTATGGCCACCTGATATTTCATTGATATTCTTATTGCAGACAATTTGCAGATTACAAATTATACAAATTATGACTGAAATAAGAATCAATAACAAATACAGTTTGTTATTCTTTTGCCAGTTACTATGCATAGTTCCTGTAATTTTATCTAAAAGATTAAAACTTACCAAAGGATTTTGACTATGAAAAACAGAAGTTTGAAAGACTTATAATATAATTAAAAAATTTTTAAATTTAGAGATGACATCAAACTTCTGCAACTTCTTAGATTGTGAAGAAGTTCAAAGCATCATATGTAGTTGACATATTTATTTATAGATTACAAATAAGAAAAAGTTACACATTCTTGTATTAGTTAACTAATATGTTTTTATCAATGCATAAAGGTCTTTTATCTCAGCGAAAGTTACCTGACACTTGTCATTTAAAATTGTATAACAACTTATTTTGGATTTTTTTTTTTCGATCAAACTGTGTTTTAATTTAATTTGCTTTATTCAGACACAATAATGTGACTCCTTTTTAAACACTTGTCAGATTATTCATCTTTTTATTCAGTTGGGACGCTAGTTACAAGTCGCGTTTCGGGCATTAGCTCTCCTCAGCCAACTAAACATTAAAATTAAACGTGAGAAAATTTTACATGTACATACGCTAATTAAAAATTCCGTAAATATAACATACTTAAAAAAACATACCTTAAAAGTACAAATTACAACATACAGACTGCATACATAATGGACTGTATCAGATTCCATAGATCGAGTGAAGAATGAACAGATTGATGGGTCTTGAACTTGACAACAGGACTTACAAACTTTGGTTTAATATAAATAATATTCAAATAAATAAATCGAATTTATAGACAATTTATAACAGTATCTATTTTACCTGTAACTAGCAGACCCGACCACGCGTTGTTGTGGCTCAAAATGTATCTATTATAAATTTATAACACTTCCCCCGTGGGGGGAATTTTTCAAAAAATTTCTTCTTAGTGTACATGCTGTTGACGTACCCTATTAAAACGCAATCAAATATGCAAAAACCTGCATCTAAAATGGTATAATAGAAGCCAAGTACTTCACGGTAAGCCTTAATCCTGTGTCTCTCCCCCGCGGGGGGGAATATCGAAAAATTTCTTGTTAGTGTACATTCTGTTGACGTACCCTATTAAAACGCAATCAAAAATGCAAAAACCCACATCTAAAATAGTATAAATAGAAGCAGAGTTCTTTACCATAAGCCTTAATCCTAACCACCTCCCTTCAGTGGAGTTGAATTTCGACATGTATATTATATAAAAACACGTGCATATTTGAATGCAGCGTTGTGTCAAAATTTTAAAGGAATCAGTAGGAACAAATGAACATTACATTTTTATTTATATAAATAGATAGATGATGATCTGCTTTAGCTCATTTTCACAGAAAAGCATAATGCCTCACAGAAAAGCAAACTTAGGATGTCATACTCGTAGCGCCATCTGTTGGACATAAAAGCCTTAACCTAGATTATATCTTTTAATTTATATGAATGTTTAATGGAATAATATACAGCCTATGTCCACCCTGAAGTTCCATTCTAAATATTGGTGAAAGAATTTTTGAAATTGTATGAGTAGTTTCAAAGTTTACCTGCTGCATACAAACTTACTTACATACAAACATTACCTCTTTATAATATTAGTATAGATTTATATCTTGACTCATCTCTAGATTCACACAATAACTGTTTTAGCATTTGCATACAATCTCGCATACAGCTATCCCAGCGACACAGTCTGGTTTTGCTAATTTGCATATATATCTCAGTAAACTATCAATACTTTGAAGCAGTTTCGGTATTCAATAGAAAGTTGTGTACAAACTCAAAAAAATTATTAATATTAGCCTATAATACTTCGGATTTTTACTTCAAAATTATTATTTAAACATATATGAACTTTGTACGCTGACGATTATCACCACAACAATATTTCATAATCTCTGACACATTTATAATATTTTTATCCAGTTTTCACTAATTTTGATACTTAAATTTTTATTTATACAATTCTTATTTTTATTTTTAATAAACTCAACACTCTCTTTAAATTTTCTGTGATATGTCTTCTTTTCCTTATGTAAAATCTGTATATTAGAATTATCAATGTTGCAATTGTTTAGTACAAATGAACGTGGAATACTGAATTTAATTGGTGATACTTCAAATCAGACATACGTTCTTTAACCCATATTTTTAGCTTGCGTTTCGTCTCTCCTATATAAAAACTGCTGTTTTTACATGTACATGATATTTTATAAACAATATTTTTCGTGTCTTTTTTATTTATTTTTTGTTTTTTTATACTTTGTTTAGCTTTCAATCTGGAAAATAAGTTTTCATATTTTGGAGCGAGTTTCATGTTATTTTTCTTCATCTCAGTATCTATTTGTTCATACATATGTTTTATATTTTATGTATGGAAAACCTAAATATTTTATTTTTACTTCTATTTTTTCATCTTTTGTTTTGGTAGCGTTATTTATTCTTTGTTGCCATTTGTTAATTAATCTAATTGAATACCCATCTAAATTAAATTTTTTTTTTTTAAATTTAATTTAGATAAAATAAGACATATGTATGCATCCCAATGAATCCCAACTAGCATCCCAACTGAATAAAAAGATGAATGATCTGCCAAGTGTTTAAAAAGGAGTCACATTATTGTGTCTGAATAAAGCAACTTATTTTGAAATTAAGTGTGATCAACAGATTAATCTGATTATTGAGATAACAAAGATATTTTAAATTATCAACTTTATTAACTATTTTTGTTGTTAATAAATTAAACTTTCCTTTTATATATTTAATATCTTATACTTGTATTAAAATGTTTTCTTAAAATATATTATTATTTAATAATACTAAAATTTACTATGTTCTTTATTTAGATATTATTATAGTAATTTTATATTTTCATAATTTAGATAACAGAATTGATAAATAGGCAGCAAGAAGATAGACGGCGTTTAGAAGATGACATTATTCAAATTAGAGAAAAGAAAGAATCTGTTTCTCAATGGGAAGCACAAATTAGTGAAATCATTCAATGGTAATAAATTTTTTAAAGCTAAAAATAAGTATAAAAAGGAAATTTGTAAATTATTTAAAATGTCATTTTTCAACATCTCTATGTGAAATTGTTTGATTGATATAGGGTTAGTGATGAAAAGGATGCACGAGGCTATTTACAAGCATTAGCTACAAAAATGACTGAAGAGTTAGAAAATTTAAAAATGAGTGGTGTTATTTCTTCTTCTACTATTGTAAGTATTTTATAATTTAGAAGTAAAAAATAATTAGAACTGTAATTAGAACAACTTTTTTTATGAAAAAATTGTTCTAATTGTGAAAAATTTCTTTTAATCTGCTAATATTCAATTATATCTGCTTTATCATAAATTGTATTAATTTATTATCAGCTATCTATAGTCTATTTATCCTAACTTGGCAGCTACTGTAAACAAAGATTCTGTCGTATTAATCCGCCGAAGATTTTCATTGGTCAAATCACAATCGGAAGTGGCTCGACACGTGTTGACCAGTTAAGCCCCTTTCTCTGCACGTGTTAAAGTAGGTCAAAGTTGTCACAACAATTTAAAAATTACCGAGATAATACAATACTTAGAAAAGTTATTATAGCTTACTTTAACATTTTTACGTAGCCGTTTAAATTATTTCCATCGTTTAAATATAGTTTGTCAAAAATTATTATTAAATATATATTATTAAGACTTACAGAAAACATGTATGAATTTATCTATGTTATATTTATATAAATAAAAATTTTTTAAAATAATTATAGTGTAAACTTACCTTATTAATCATCTGTATCAGAACATAGTTGCTCAAAGTAATCATTTATATCGCTTTCGTCACTACTTGTGTTAGACTGAATAATCAGTTTTTCTACAACAGTTTCTGAAATCTCATCAAGTTCCCACATTCGTTGTTCTTCTTTTTCTATATGTTCAATACATTTTCTCCATCGTTCTTCATTTATTTGTTCGATAGCTTCATTCATTAAAATTCGCACATCCGACAGTTTGAATGTTGTGTTGTGACGTGCGATGTAACCTTTCATATCTGCCCATATCAATTCAATAGGATTTAAATTACAATGATACGGAGGTAAACGTAACACGTCGATACCTATTTCTTTGGCCATTTCGTCAATAATATATTTATCGTATTTATGTTTTATTTTTTTAACAATATCCAAAAGTTCTATTTTCAACATTTTGTCGTTATGACGAACCCTATTTTTTTCCAACCAAGAAATTATGTCAGCTTTTTTCCAACT